CGTTTTTTTCGCTGTTGTCTAATTAACCAAACTTGTCCATGTCACACCCTCTCTGTCTCATTTCCTCCTCGAGATCCTCTCTTTCCTTCTTGTACAACTCACACTCCCCAACTATGTGGGGTCTACTCGCCTCCGATTTGCCACATGGACATGTGTGTCTATCCTCCTCTTCCTCTCTCCTACGGCTGGTATACCTCTTCCTCCGTTCTGGCAAGTCCAGATCGCCTACTCGAAATTGCAATTTCAGCTTTTTCGCATAGTCCATGGGGTCGTCCATGTACGTCTTCATCCCTATCCCTTCTTTCAACTTCCCGTATATCTCCAAGTGGTCTTCGCTTCGTACCTTCTTCCGAAGGGTTGCCTCCTCCCTACTCTCTAGCATCTCCTTGACTTTCGTCTTGAACCCCCCGAACCCTTCCGTGTCCAACGTCTCCTCCTCGTCTCCTATCTCCTTCCAAACCTTCTCTACCACCTTGTCCCATCTGATTCCCTTCTTTCCTGGAGTCGTTTTTCCCCAAGCTGCCTCGTCAACCATGGCTGGTAGTCTATCGTCCGACATTCTACTTACCTTGTACTGCCAATTCAACTTCTGCATGTCTCTCTTTGTTTTAAGAGAGTACATTCCCAATTCTGCTCTCAATACAGTGTTGCTCGTTGTACTTGAACACCCTAATATTTTCTTGGCCGCTGCCATCTGCACCGTTTCCAGCTGCTTGACGGCCTTTTTCGTTACCTTCCCATACCTCTCCTGCATACTCTAGCTTAGGTACAATCACATTCAAGAGAATACACCTTTTAATCCTAGTGTCTAGGTGTGGGTCCGTAAGGATCTCGTCCATCTTGCCTATCTGAGCTTTACCCTTCCCAATCAACTTCGCTATGTGTGCGTCCCATGAGCACTCCTTCGAAATCTCTACTCCCAGGTACGTATACTTGTCTACTACCGGTAGTTCTTCCTCCCCCCATTTCCATTTGAATTCTACGGGATTTTTCTTGTCTTCGTTACAGACCACTACTGCGCATTTTCCTACGTTCGCCGACAGTCTCCATTTTCGGGTGTATCCTACCGCCGCATCTATTTGTTCTTGCAACCCTTCTGGTGTTTCGGATACCCCCACAAAATCATCTGCAAACATCAGTCCGGACACACTCTTTCCCCCTACTTGGACTCCCTGTCTTACTGCTTCAACCGCCCTTATCAAATCGTTGATGTAAATCTTAAAAAGAGTGGGTGACATCGTACATCCCTGTGCGACTCCTTGGAGTATTTCCACGTACTTCGAAATTTCCCCATCCAACATCACCGCACTTCTTGTGCATTCTGTCA